CTATTTATTACATTTACACACTAGCCCACTATTTATTACATTTACACACTAGCCCACTATTTATTACATTTACACACTAGCCCTCTATTTATTACATTTACACACTAGCTCACTACTTATTACATTTACACACTAGCCCATTATTTGGTCCACTGGGGCTATGTAGAGAGAACCTCTCTCAAAACAACAGCAACTCGACAACAAAAAGAAAGAAACTAGCCCGTCACAAACGACGTGAAGCCAAACCCTAGCTAAAGGGAAACAGCAGCACCACCCATGTCAGAGTCGCAGCCACGCACTCTTCCTGGCCCGTGTGCTCCTCTGCCTTCAGGAGCCCAGTGCCTTTTGGACCAGAAGTTCTGCCTTGTCAAGACACTACCCGAAATGGTGGTCTCTTTCTTTGTGACTCCAAACTTCTCTCTCTCTCTCTCTCTCTTTTTAACTTCATTTTATGTGAATTGGTGTGAAGGTATCAGATCCCCTGGAACTGGGGCTACAGTTGTGAGCTGCCATGTGGGTGCTGGGAATTGAGCCCAGGTCCTCCAGAAGAACAGGCAGTGTCCTTAATCTCTGAGCCGTCTCTCCAGCCCCTCCAAACTTTTTTCTAACAGTTCACAGAAATACATGCAGACAAAATACTCACACAGGTAAGTGTTTTGCTTTGTTTTGGCTTTTCCGAGACAATGTTTCTCTGGGTGTAGCCCTGACAATCATAGAACTCACTTTGTAGACCAACCGCCTCAAACTCACAGAGATCTGCTTGCCTCTGCCTCCCAAGTGCTGACGATAAAATAAATCCTTAAACAAACAAACCCAAGCTTGGGGTGGTGACACAAACCATTAATCCCAGCACTCAGGAGGCAGAGGCAGAACTCTGTGAATTTAAGGTCAGCCTGGTCTACATAAAGAGTTCCATGACAACCAGAGCTATGTAGGGAAACCCTCTCTCTCTCTCTCTCTCTCTCTCTCTCTCTCTCTCTCTCTCTCTCTCTCTCTCACCTAAAAACCAACCACCACAAATGACAACAACGACACTTACTTTGCATGTGTGTGCCCGCAGGTATGCATTCAGTTGTGTGTCTTGCACGCGGAGGCCAGAGGTCAGAGGTCAGCCTCAGGGGTTGTTTCTCAGATTGTTCCTCACCGGAGAAATCACATTATTTTTGAGTCAAGTTTTCTTGCTTCCAGATGTGATGTAGATACATCACACACCTGCACATCTGTCTGTGCACCATGTGCATGCCTGGTGCCCACAGAGATCAGAAGAAGCCTCGGGTCCCCTGGGACTGAAGTCATGGAGATTTATGAGCTTTCATGTGGGTGCTGGGATTGAACCGGTCCTCTGCAGGAGCCACAGACTGGGGTACAGACACTCCCACTTACATTTTATTAAGTTCAAGGACTGGTTACAACGAGGGTGGAGGTGGTGGGAAGGTCCCACCCCGCCTCCACTGGCACACAATAAATACAAACAATCAGGTCACTCTTCCAAGCTGGGGCGACCATCAATACCAGGGTCACAGAGGGCCCACGGATCAGTTCCTGGAGGAGGCTGACTTTCAAGTTGGTCTTTTTGAAATGAGGTCTTACTCTGCAACCCAGGTCACCAAACTCAGAGCAATCCTCCTGCCTCAGCCTCCCAAGTGCTATAAGGACAGGCATTCATCACCCTGCCCTCCTAGGACCTGGTCTCCTGGCTGATCCAGTCAGCCCAGGATTATCAAAAAGCCACCGGGTCGCAGACTCGTAGATTGTCCTGTTTGGGATCTAAGAGGCCAGGGGATCATTGTTATCCTGATGGACCTCCAGAGGTCAATGTCACTTAGCCTTCTGACTGGGGCTCTGGGGCTCCAGGATGTGCAAGGTGATCTTTAAGATCTTACTTGATCCAGAGGGCCCACTGTGAGACACTAACATGCCAGTCACTACTGGTAGCTTTCCTTCCATAGGCCTGTGCAGGCCAGGAATATCTGGAGTTCCCTAGACTTCTGATTGGTCAGCAAGGACCTAAGGACAGAGCATTACAGCTCCCAGGGAAGGGAAGGAGCTTAATTAAGTACTCAGGGTTGGAGAAAATTTTCATTTGGCTTTGGGGCCCATATATATATAGTTCAAGAAGGATAGGTGACAGGGCAGGAAATAAGGCTACCTGGTGGGGTCAGGCCAGGGTGAACCTTCAAGATGTGGAGGGACAGCTTCTGAACAGCAGGGCATCCAACCACTGCTGGGAGGGGTTTGAGGGCCCACAAACCTTCCTGGATTCCAGCTTCCCTTCTCTGGGGTAGACACCCGGGGCCAGGCAGCTCCTGCCGAATGTAACTCATTCTCTCTCCATCTACGGGATCGGAGAATGGGGGAGGTGGGTTCAGTCCTCCAGCCCCTCCATCAAGTCTGCAATGCTCTCCACGTAGTAGTGAGGCACAAGGTCATGCTGACCAGCTGCCAGATAAGCCTGGGCTTCTTCGAGGCGTGAGACTCCTGTGAGTGTGAGCACGGTGGTCATGCCACAGCGGTGGCCAAAGAGGATGTCGGTCTCCAGGCGGTCACCCACCATCAGTGTGCGGATGGGGTCCACACTGAACTCTTCGGCGATGCACTGGAACATGTAAGGGCTGGGTTTGCCCACCACCAGGGCCTGGCGTCCTGAGGCTGTCTCCACTGCTGCAGCCAGGCTTCCGGTACCGGGGGTCCGGCTTCTGTCGCTGTGCGGGTGCCAAGGGTCGCGATCGGTGGCTACGAGCAGGCAGTCGGGGTCGCGCAGGTGCGCGCACGCCTCGCTCAGCCTGGCGAAGGGGAAGTGCTCGTCGTAGCCCACGAGCACGGCGCGCACGCGCGAGCCGTAGTCGCCGGGGTCCCCCGCCAGGCGCAGCCCCGCGGCACGCAGCTCGGCGCGCAGCCCCTCACCGCCCAGCACGAACACGGTGCCCGGCGACCCAGGCAGACGACGCTGGCACAGCAGGCGCGCGGCACACAGCGCTGAGCTGAAGAGCTGCTCAGCGCGCAGCCCCGCGAAGCCTAGGCGGCCGAAGCGCAGCGCCAGCTCGGGCCGCGCGCGCCGGCTGTTATTGCTCACGAAAAGCGTGGTCTTGCCCGCCCGCGCCAGCCGCTGCAGCAACTCGGGGGCGCCCGGCACGGTGCGCTCGCCGTTCCACAGCACCCCGTCGCAGTCGAACAAGACGCCCTGCGCCTGGCCCAGCAAGTCGCGCAGGGCCGCGCCGCGCAGCCGCTCGCAGCGCGCCATGCAGCCGGCTCCAGGTATCTCTAAAAAGATGATTATGACAGTGCTTGAGGGACTGAACCAGGACTGCAACAAGGTCAAGGCCAGCTGGGCTACGGTAGTGAGTGCCAAGCCATACACAGCTACATGCCAAGACGAGTACAAGAGAATTGTGCACTAAGCATGTAACTCTCGCCCAGAATTCCTAAGGTCCTGGATTTGAGGTAATACCTGAGTGTAGCAGAAACCAAACTCGGGGCCTTATTTTTAATGTGTATTGGTGTTTTTCTTGTATGTGTGTCTGTGTGAAGGAGTCAGATCCTCCAGAACAGGAGTTATAGTTGTGAGCTGCTCTGTGGGTGCTGGGAATTGAACTCCGGTCCTCTCAAAGAGCAGCTTTGAGATCTTAACCGCTGGGCCTTCTCTCCAGCCTGGCTAACTCTTGCCCTAGCAGGCCATGCTGGTTGCTTATCATCTGTGGTGACCCCCCACCTTCCTGATTGATCTCCAGCAGAGGGGTGTTTGCCTTTATTAGCTGCTGAACCCCAGTCTTCAGTGCATTTTTGTAGCATTGGGCATCCAGTGGGGTCTCTCTGGCAGCCTCGGTGTGATCAGAGACATTGCATCCGATGCCTGTGGTCTCACTTCAGCCTTATTCCTCGGGTTTGATGGAGTGGATCTGAGCGGCAGCGTGCAGACTATGCCCGAGTACATTTATTCCCACTCCAAGCAAGAACCGGCCCCTGCCACGCGGTCATCCTGTTTCTGCTCATGCGCAGTATGGTGGGGTATGGTGGGGGAAGGCGCAACTTTCACTAAGAGCGGAAGGACCGAGAGAGACCAGGACATCCCCTGGACAACCCCTATCTAAGCAGCTAGCTGAATCTGGCTGGCTGAAGAAAAAAGCCTGCATGCCTCTCAGACTATAGAAAAAGCTGCAGGCCACAGAAATTAGGCGCCAGGGACCAGTCAAAAGCCTGTGGCGTTTAGGAACAGGATCTGGCAAAAAAAAAAAAAAAAAAAAAAAAAAAAAAAAAAAAAAAAGACCTCCAGATATGAGGGGAAAAAAGGGAGGGGGAATCAAGTCTTAATCTGGGGTCTATAAGAAAATGGCACTAAATTCATCAGGACGCAGTGGCAGCAGGGAGGCCTACAAACTGCCACCCTCGGGCCGTGGTCTGAAGAGAGCCTGGAGCACAGCTGAGGCAATGTCCGTCCTGTCCTCACAAAGTCCCAATGGCAAACCAAAGCTCCAGTCCACCCAAGCTAGCCATGGGAGCCAATGAGTTTGTTAGAGCCCCTCACAGAGCGTGGGAAAGCGGTTATGAATAGCAGTGTGGGGGGACCCTAACAGAGATTAGTGTGATGGCTTCCCCAACACTGACCCCCCTTCCTCCCGTGCGCCCCAGTTCAAACACTAGCCCCTCCTTGAGGCCCTGAAGCCATGAACAATTAGGGCAGAATTTCCTGTGATTGTCTGGGAGGGGTGGGTGAATGCTCAGAGAAGGACCCATGAGCTGCTTCTGCCCCTCAGAGGGAGGGTCAAAAATCAACAACCCGGCTGGAGAGATGGCTCAGAGGTTTAAGAGCACTGACTGCTCTTCCAGAGGTTCTGAGTTCAATTCTCAGCAATCACATGGTGGCTCACAACCGTCTATAGTGACACCCGGTGTCCTCTTCTGGTGTGCAGTCATGTACCAGCAGAATGCTATATTCATAATAAATAAGTAAACCTCGTAAGACACTTGGAAGGCTGAAGTAGGAGTCTGATAAATTTGAGACCAGCCTGTACAAGGGCTACATAGCAAGTCTGTTTCGAAATAAAACAAATCCAGACATGGTGTCGCATGCTTTTAATTCCAGTACTTGGAGGCAAAGGCAGGTGGATCTCTGAGTTCCAGGCCAGCCAGGGTTACACAGTGAGACCCTGTCTCAAAAACAAAACAAAACACCACCTCTTTAATATCTCAAAACAAATGAAAATGAACACACCGAGGTACAGCATTCATTTGGGAATTAGAAAGTGTTAAGTCGGTGAAGAGAGACATCTCAATACTGAGAGTGTGCTCACGCGGATCAAAGGAAGATGTGCGTCAATCATGAAATACTGCCAGCATCTAGCTCCATGCTACGCATGGTCTGTGTGTGCAGACTCTCTAAATGGCTATGAGAAAGTACGCGTGATGCCCACGAGGACTTGCTAGCCAAAATAACTCCAAAAATACTCCATCAGGTGGCTCATGAAAACACGTTTCAGAAGGACTATCAGCTGAGAAGTGAAGTATATTTTATCTTCTATGGAGAGTGTGGCATTCTGAATTTCTGGGCTTTTCATCATCCTAATGCGTACTTCTTCCAAATGTTCCCAAGACTCGATGGTGCACTGCTGGGTGACATTGGCCACAGAAGCCTTGAACTCACTTACCACGTCGATGGAAGGGAACTTCTCAGCAAGCTCAGCAAGAAACGAGGCAGTTTCGTGGAGCACCCATGCTCCTTCATCCGTACACGTCTCGGGCAGCGTACCTGAGCGCCGCACCCTTCTCAGTTCGCCAGGGAACCCCCCCAGGCCGCTCAGAATGGCCTCCTCCTGGCTGCGCATTTGTCTCTGGAGGACCAGGGTTTCGGTGTTATCCTCCCCTCCCGCTTCACTGAGCTGAAGCTGCAGAGACTGGGCCTCAGCAGGGCAGCCCACGTCCTGCAGGGCCACTTTCAGCGCAAAGAGGGACAAGTGCTCAGGTAAGGGGGCTAAGGAGGGCACTGTGTTCAAGAGGACCTGGCAGGTGCCAGGGGTTGGAGGAAGGATCTTCCCGGAGAGCACATTTGATGTAGATTCAGTCTCTCTGACAGCCGGCTGAATGGGCAGGGCGCCGTTCTGGAGGTTCCTTGGAAAGGCGACCGCTGAGGACAGTAAGACACAGCCAAGGAGTAAGGCAGCCTGGATCATGGTGGGTCCGCTGAACGGCACTGTCGGGAAGGAGAAGAAAGAGTTCAGAGAAAGAGGGGGGGAAATGCCCCACGTGAACAGGAGCCTAGAACAGTCAGAGCTTGGAAGAGTCCTAGTCTCCGGAGACTTCAGCTTCCCTGTCTCTACCCCCTTAGCGGCTGTTTGTCATCCTCACCTGTCCTGAAAGCAGTGGCCAGAAGGACGAGGTGGTCCTCTGTCTTGAATGGCTGCCTTGTGGATCGGATGACTGAAAGCGATCATTCTCAAATATTTATCACCTCTTTCTGGGCTAGACTTTGCCCAACCAGCTATTACCTCATTCTGACACGGGGCTTCCTCCCTGTTTTCCCCAGACCATCGTCCGGTAAACCTAAGCTCTTATTTAGTCATAAACCAGACCAGGCAAAGTCCTCTGTATCTCCTAGGTAATGGAAAGTTTGTTCTCTGTCTTTCAAGTCAGGGTCTTCCGTGTCCCTGGCTGGCCTGGAATTCCATAAAGTAGCAAAGGAGGACCTTGAACTTCTGTTCCTTCTGCCATCCCCTCCCCAGCACTGGGGTTTACAAGTATGTGCCAGCATGTGCGGTGTATGTGGTACTGGGAATCACATCCAAGGACTCATGCATGTTAGGCAAGCATGCTACTACTGGGCCACCCCCTCAGTCCATACAGGGGTGCGTGAGAGAAAGACACCATGTGACAGAGCTCAGGTAGAGGGCTTCTTATTGGGGTACAGAACTAAACAGAATTCTCAAAAGAAGAATCTCAAATGGCCAAAAGATACTAAAGGAAATGTTCAACATCCTTAGCTATCAGGGAAATGCAAATCAAAACAACTCTGAGATATCATCTTAAACCTGTCAGAATGGCTAAGATCAAAAACACCAAGATAGCCTTTGCTGGAGAGGATGTGGAGTAAGGGGAACACTCATCCATTGCTGGTGGGAGTGCTAACTTTACAACCACTTTGGAAATCAATGTGGCGGCTTCTCAGAAAGTTGGGAATCAACCTACCTCAGGATCCAGCAATACCACTCTTGGGCATATACCCAAAAGATGCTCAGTCATACTACAAGAGCATTTGTTCAACTATGTTCATAGCAGCATTATTTGTAATAGCCAGATCCTGGAAACAACCTAGATGCCCCTCAACTGAAGAATAGATAAAGAAAATGTGTTGGGAGGCAGAGGCAGGTGGATCTCTGTGAGTTCAAGGACAGCCTGGTCTACAAGAGCTAGTTCCAGGACAGGCTCCAAAGCTACAGGGAAACCCTGTCTCAGTACAAAAAAAGAAAAGAAAATGTGGCACATGTACACATTTGAGTTCTACTCAGTGGTAAAAACAATGACATCTTGAATGTTGCATGCAAATGATGGAAATAGAAAACACTATCCTGAGTGAGGTAATCCAGACCCAAAAAGATGAATATGGTATGTACTCACTCATAAGTGGATACTAGCTATAAACAAAGGATATTGAGCCTATAGTTCATGATCCCAGAGAAGCTAAGTAATAAGGTGAACCAAAGAAAAACATATAGACCCACCTGGAAAGTAGAAACAGACAAGATCGCCTGACAAAATTGGGAACATGGGGGTGGAGGGAGAAGGGAGAGTGGAAGGGACAAGGGAAGGGGTGAGGGGAACTTGAGGGAATGGGATAGTCGAGATGGAGGAAGGACAGAGATGAGAGCAAGGAAAGAGATATCTTGATTGAAGGAGCCATTATGGGCTTAGAAAGAAACCTGGCTCTAGAGAAATTCCCAGGAATCCACAAAGATGACTCCAGCTAAGACCCTAAACAGTAGAGGAGGGGGTGTCCGAACTGGCCTTTCCCTGTAGTCAGGCTGGTGAATATCTTAAACACCACCATAGAATCTTCATCCAGCGACTAATGGAAACAGAGGCAGAGACCCGCATTAGAGCAATAAACTGAGCTCCCAAAGTCCAGTTGAAGAGTAGAAGGAATAAGAATATGAGCAAAGAGGTCAAGACCATGATGGGCTCACCCACTGAAACAGTCTACCTGAGCTAATGTGAGCTCACCAACTCCAGCTGGACTGGGAAGAAACAAGGATAGGACCAAACTAGTCCCTCTGAATGTGGCTGACAGTTGTATGGCTGGGGCAGACTGAGGGGCCACTGGCAGTGGCACCAGGATTTATCCCGACTGTTTGTACTGGCTTTTTGGGAACCTATTCTCTTTAGATGGATACCTTGCTCAGTCTAGATATAGTAGTGAGGGCCTTGGACCTTCCCCAAAGCAATGTGCCTTACCCTCTCTGAGGACTGGATGGGGGTGGGGTGGGAGGGTATGTGGAGGGAATAGGAGGAGAGGAAGTGGGAACTTGGAG